ACAGAAACTTCCGAAGCCAGTACTCTTCTCTACCTTGAAGAAGACCTGTGAAATACGTCGGTGTTGATTCAAGATTGCTCAGGTTTCAGTGTGGATTCTTCGATGTCCCCACACGCCGAGCATAATCATACCAGGCCATTTAGTTCTTGGCAGTTTGGATCTAGTTCCTTCCCGCTATTTCTTCTACGTACATGTGCCATCTCAATGGAGACCGCCCGATATCGTTTTCTTTCACTCAGGTACCATTCAGCAATGCGCAAGGTCCATCGGTTGTCATCAAGACGTGCGTCGTGGCCTGCCCTATAGATCTTGCTCTCTTTCATGGCTCGAACGATATCTTGCACGCCACTCTGTTTGTTGTCGATGCTGTCACGGAGAGATATTCTAAGCATCCATCGTTCCATTGCTCTCTGCGTCACAGCAAGTGCATTTTCTTCTACCTTCATCGGTGCCCACGTTTCGCATCTGCACTTCATTGCCTTCAACACTACGCTGCTAAAGAGACGAACACGGCTTTTCAGATCTGGTACATTGAGGACATCGATGATGCCATAGAATTTGCGTCATCCGGCAGACCTCCGACGTACAATCTTCGGTAGGAGATCATGGCGCATATTCAATTCTTGGACCAAATAGACTTAGTTGTTGACTTCTTCCAAGTCCACATCGTAAATAGGACTTGGGCATGCTGACACTCTGCATCACCTTCGTTTTAGTTGCGTTGAAGACCCACTTCTTTACTTCGTTCGTTGAGCTCTTGCAGCATCTCCTTCGTTTATGGAACATTATTTAAAATGAGTACTACTTCAGCTACAAAGCGTAGATGAAGATTCAGCTGTTCGCCGTTGATGTTCAGACCGCTCTTTTAGTTCAAATTGCGGAACAGCGTCTCGACGAAGGCATTAAAGAGCTTGGATGATGATAAAGGATAGCCCTGTTTCACGCCCTTCTCGATCAGTATATGAACTGAGTTTGAGAAAAGCGCTATTTCGCTTGAGCATCCTGTATTTGCTTCTTTCATGATTTCGACATGGTTCTCATCGATTCCGTCTTACACAAGAGCTTTCAGGATAGCGTCGAGTTCCACGCTGTCGAATGCTTTCTAGTAATCGACGAAAAGGAGACCTGAGGGTAATTTATACTCTAGCAGTTGGTTTAGAGTGAAGGTTGTCAGAAGTGCTCTATTTGCTTCGAAATCCTGCTTGTTCTTTCGGCTGCTGTTCATCGAGTGGCCCTGTGAGGTGTATGGCAATAATTCTCGTGAACAGCTTGTGTACGTGGGAGAGCAAGCAGATCGAGCGATAATTCTTCAGATCTTCTTTATCGCTCTTTTAATGGAACAGAACGGTTCTCGATTCTTTTCAGCTGCTAGGGATGGTCTTCTCAGTCAGGTAGCGACTGAATCTAGCGGCGAGTGCCTTCCAAAGTGCGTGCCCACCGGCTTTCATGAGCTCAATGCTAATACCGTCGTTACCGGTAGCTTTTCCATTTTTCATCTGGAAGATTACATTTCTTATTTCACTGAATTCGAATTTCGGGTGTTAGTACCTCGACACATTACGCAAGGAGTTTCTTGTAGAATTCTCTACATAATTCTTCCATATCTGTTCGGTCCGTGATTCGACGTCCATCCTCATTTTTCAGCGCTGCTGCAGTTTGATGGTGTAACAGCATTTTCCTTCTGCATTTTTTTTCAGGTTTTGTTTTCTTTGAACCGCCGTTGCTCGCCTTCGGCTTCGAGGTCCTCTTTCAGCTTTTTACGAATTATCCTGCAGAAAAGATTGTACTCTACATTCTTGAAGTTTTTTTGTCACCTCTGAGACCCTCGAATCCTTTCGTTGATACTAAGCGTGTTCGGCTCTTTCTGAGCACTGAAGGAGCTTCTCAGTGAAATTTTGGTAATCTTGTTTAATGCTCGCTGTCAGAGTCCAGTCTGTAGTTCCGACCTGCCGCTCCATCTCTGCTTCGTCGATCTCAGTAGGCTTTTAACGCTGATACGACACATACAGTTCGACAGCCGGAATTATTTGCCGGCAACATGCGGTGATCGCTTCCTGTGTTGAACGAGGTTACCACGGACAGATACGTCCTTTAAAATGCGCTGTGTATCGACCAAATATAGTACATTTCATTTTTCACAACTGCGTTTAGTGTGATCCATGTCCATTTCCGCCCCACTTTCTTCCGGAACCATGTGTTACCCACAAAACTTTTTTTGGCCTCTGCCATCGCTGCCATTCTATCACCCCTGTCCTGTTGTTTCGCTCTCCTATACCAAATCTGCCAGTGTACTTCTCTTCAGCTTTCCTATCTGACCAAGTTTTGAGTTGAAGTCGCGCATCACGAACGTATAAGTGGACTTAACGGTGAGAACTGATTCAAGCTCCGTATAGAATTCTTCAACCTCATAATCGTCGCTGGCCGTAGTGGGGGCATAAACTTGAACGATTTTGAGGCACTTGTTGGAATCCAGCCGTAGATTGAGTACAACGACTCGCAATAAATCACAACGGCATGAAAGGACTTGTAGAGACCACTTCCATATAACGATAAACCCGATTTTGCTAATATTCCTCTGTTCTTCTCCTTTCCCCCAAAGAATTATGTTGCCTTCCCTTCAGGTGGCGCTGAGTTCTGACATTCTTCATGTCTCGCACAGGCCGAGGACATCGTAGTACATTCTGTTGATCTCCTGGAGGAGACGGTCAAGGAAATCATTCCTCGACAGCGACCAACAATTGCAGGTGCATATCTAGAGGCCGGGTCCATTTCATTTTGGCTAAGAAAGCCGGCCTTTTCTTTAACTCCCAGAAGCCGAAAGTTATTAACAGTCCATTCCGCACGACTGATCTACAAATGGAACAGAGAGATGAAGCCCTGAAGGAGGCTGACCAGTTTAAATATCTGGTGCACCCTGAAAATCGTAGCAGCCCCTCGTCCTTGTTGCCGGCTCGCAGCCAGAGGCCAGTTCCAACAGTACTAAGGACCATATCCTTTTCTTCATCTGCTTATGATTGTTGGACCTGTTAATTTACCACTCGCTGGTTCAGGCTGTCAGTGGTACCGCCCGTGCTAAGTCGGCCAAGGATGCAGTGCTGCGTCATCTCGGTTTGCTTCCACGCTCTGGCCGTTGCCAATCACACGCCACGTTGAGGTACCTGGATAGGAATTTTGTGGGAACAGCATTAATTAATTATCCGATTGACCAAATTGTTTGCATTGTGCATAAATAAACTTTGCAATATGCTATTGTCAGTATTACCCGACGTAATTGATTATATAAGTCATTTTCTAGGGTAGTATTACTGCAAATCAATTCTAGTTAGTGGCAAACATTAAATCATATGCTAATTGATGATAAACTAACAAGATTTGAAGCTTAAAGAATGAAAATTATATGCTATTCAAAAGATTTTGAGCAATACGATATATGACAGGGCTAAAATCAATATCGTTGTACTAATAATGACAGCGAACACGATAACTAGAATAATTCATTGATTGAATGCAAAAGCAGTCAAGCCAATTTACCGCATCATCAGAAATCGAGTGGATGGCTCCCAAACGCCATTTGAATCGTGTCACTGGGCAGCTGTTAAAAATATTAGACGGATTTCGGCGGATGCATGGGCAAATCTACATGCTTCCAACGCCTCATCGGTAGTCCCTATGAATGCAGTATTTTGGCCAGTGCGGAACTAATTAAGATCACCCAGCTTCTGCGTGGTAGATCGAATTAGGATCATAATAATCATAGCTTATTACAAAGAGATAATGAGATGAGAATGGTATGAAGGAAAAATTGATGGGTCCATCTGACGCCCTTCTTTATATGAAGTTGATGTTGCGGTGCTGATCTCCGCTTTTGTGCCATCAGTCCATAGTGCCCTGTGTTTAAGGCAGAATGGCACTCATTTATTAACTTCAGAAGGAAGAAATGCAAGTGATCTCGTCCGGATCTTTAAATCAGTACTTATAAGTTCTAAGTTCGACAATCGACTGAATAGGCAACCACGGTCAAAAGCAATGTATGGCAAATTCCTTGCTCAAAAAATTCGTTAATAAGACAAAGATATCCGTAATGAAGAATCAAACTCAGAATTCGAAACAGACCTCTTTGGCACTATGCCATCACCCGGCAGGCATGGTAACGACGATTACAATAATGGTAACTATGAAGACTGTGGTGCTACTAATGACGGTTACGATGAAGGAACGGGAGGAGGATAAAAAAACTTGAAAGTGAACACGGCGATATTATAAGATAGGAAAAAGACAAATGAGACTGCGCAAACAAGGCAAATGCAAAACAACATTAAAAATAGAAGGCGCATGATACATTGATTTATTACCTGTACATCACAATGGCATCCAGCTGTCCCTTGTAGCACAACGTCGAATGATGAATCCATGTTTCCCTCGCTACCAGATCATGAAATTCACTCAGCACCGGTTGAAGACTAGTGAAAAACGGTTTCACAGCAGTGGGCAGTTTGATCTTTTCACAGGGGGTCTTCTGCTTTAAGTATTGCAGAGTGAACGCCTCGTGCAACTCTTCTCCAATGTTCAGTCGTTCTAAAAGAAAGAATCAGCGTAAAAGTTTTACTAGCTACCGTAACAACTGTTCCAAAAAAATAAACCCTTTTGCATCTTTTCGAATTTAACTGACCCGTGTTTAGCGGTCATTTTCGACTTCCACTTATCAAGCATCACTGTCAAGTTCGGTGACTTCGTCTTCTCTAAGATTCTGCTGACCGACGGAAAATGGTTATTCGCCGCAAAGCCTAAAATTATTCTTAACTAATTATGTAACATTAAAGCATAAAAACAACGGTGTATCACACCATGTTCAGTAACCGCTACTCCGGCCGTTTTGTGAACTAGAGGCACTTTAAAAATAGCGTCCACCGAACTTGGTATAACTTGCTCGGTTTTCGGGTAAGGTTTCGAGGGAGGAACCTCGTCGGCGCTTTTGATACATTTATCGTCTTTCACTTCTTCCTGCCGACTCTCACCGATGTCAGAACGGCTATTCACATCGTGCTTATTTTTTGACTGGGAAAACGACCGATGAAGAAACGATGATGCAGAACTAAACAGACATCATTAGTCGCCATATTCATCAGGAAACTTGGCTAAATTTGCAAACAGAGTTGCAGCAAATGAACTGAAATCTGCGATGTTACAAAAATTTATATACAAAAATATCAGCATTTAAATAGTCCTTATGCAGTTGCAAAAAAGCATAAGTCCAGTAGTATTAAATGCGACGAGATAGCTACTGAACATGGGAATGAATGGGTTGAAGTCCATGCGAAAACAAGAAGGCGAATGTCCAAACCATAACAGTAGCCTACATCATTCAACAACAACCCTCCAACATTCGGAGAGGCGCTTGTTAGTGAACAAGAGTTACATATTTATTATGAGATGCGAAGCGCGGCGAACCTCAAGTCGTCGAAATCAAAGGTAAGGGGTGTAAATCCAAAAACAGCAACTGGAAAAAAATCAGTTCAAACCAAAAATTGTTCCAATTCCGCGTTCAAAATTATTTTAATTCGTGCTCTACCAACCGTTGGTGCTATACCCTT